AAGTTTATGAAATCATTTGAGAGAATTGTATCTATAAAATGAGAATGTCATCCAATAGTTTTCTATCGGCATTTGAATTGTAATTTATGAGGTATATTCATGAAGTTAAAATTTTAAAACTAAAAAACAAAACAAAAATCGGGAAAATCACTAAACCGCGACTAGTTCACTGGTTTACGGTTGAACTGGCCGGTTTAGTGGGTTTTGAGCAATTTGTCATAATCAGTTAACCGGGCATGATTTTGCCCTATTTTGGGTCCGATTTTTGTTTTACTGTGTGGTTTAAAGCATCTTTTATAGTATAAGTTCATTGAAAAAAATTAAATTTCAGTCTAGCCTAATGTATCTTTCTAGCTCCGCCCCTGCTCGTGTTCATGATAGAATTATTACTTTATATGAGTTTGATAAATGATTATAATTTGTGACTCTTTGTTTTTGCAAAATTTGATGGTAGAAATCAAGAGGATCATTCAGAGAGGATCAAACATCAAAGATTTTAGAACAAAGAAAATTTTTGTGGGTGGAATTCCGACAACAGTCGATGAAGGTAATTTTGAGCATTGACTTGACATAATTAAATCCTGTCGTATTATTTTGAAAATGTTATATCTGGAAGGAAATCCTAATAGTTGTGATCTAGTTGCGACTTTTTATTTCAGATGAATTCAGGGACTTCTTTTTGAAGTTTGGAGATGTGAAGGAGCAACAAATTATGAGTGATCATTCAAGTGGCCGTTCTCATGGCTATGGATTTGTTACGTTTGAGACTGAACAGTCTATTGATGATATCTTGGCAAACGGCAACAAGCTTGATTTTGCTGGAGTTCAGGTTTGTGAAACCTCCTTTAAACAAACCATATATCTAGAGCGTAGTGTGGGGTAACAAGTTGATGATTTAGCCAATTTCTTCATGTTGGTAACTAGTACAGTTCACATTGGTCAAGTATGATGAGAGAACTCGGACAAAGCTGCATTTTTAATTTTTTTTTTTTAATGATTCACTGTTTTATTATATCTATTTTTATCTTTTGTTATGTAGGTGGAGATCAAGAAGGTAGAGCCTAAGAAGCCAAACCATCTACCTCCACCACCATCTTATTGACATTTACATTGATACTTTTGTTGTCATTAGTCCTGTGTTTTTTATGTACTAAATTCTAGCTTAAGTTAAGTTTTATGAGCTAAGTAAGGGATGGTGCTACAGTTAAATAGTAGTTGTCAAATGTGTCAAGTTGTAGTAGGTAAGGATTGTGATTTGTTAGACACTTTTGTGATGTAAAAGGAGTATGGCTTTTATATATTTTGCAGCCGGTTTTACTCATTGTTGTATGAATGAAAAATTGATATTATCTCCATCTCTTTGAGCTCATATAACAACAGTGGTATCAGAGCTTAATTGGATCTTAGACGGGCTGAGAAGAAGGTTGGATAAATGCTGAAAAAATAGAGTGCTCTGTGTAAAATCAGGTAAGCAAGAAGCAAATACGGTCAGGAACTTGCAAATCCGGTAAGAAGCAAATCCGGTAAGGAACCTGCTGAACCGGTATCTTTGAGCGAATTCGGTAACTTCAAAATCGGTAAGTGTGTGCAAATCCGGTAAGTTGTGTAATATCTGGTAAGCCCTTGTTTTTTCTTCTTGCATCCTCTTTGATAACCAAAAATTCTGAGAGAAAACAAGTAAGAAACTTTCACTAGCCAAACATGTGAGAGAGAGTAATGGCTTCCAATGGTTTCACAGCACCTTTGCCTTTAGTATTTACAGGAGAAAACTATGACTTCTGGTCTACAAAGATGAAAGCATATCTAAAGGGCTCTTTCATGTATCCAATCAGCTATCTCAAATGCTATCTTTACTAGGATTATAACTTGTGAAACAGCAAAGGAAGCTTGGGACAAATGAAAGGAGGAATTTCGAGGTAATGAGAGAACCAGGCAAATGTAGGTCTTGAATCTGATAGGAGAGTTTGAAACTCTAAAAATGAAGAATTCAGAATCTGTTAAGGAGTTCTTGGACGGGTTGATGAAGGTGGTGAGTCAAATTAGGTTGTTAAGTGATGATTTTCCAGATAAACGAGTTGTGGAAAAGGTCCTAATCAGTCTACCTGAAAAGTTTGAAGCTAAGATCTCCTCTCTTGAAGATTCCAGGGATTTGTTTGTTATCTCCTTGTCTGAATTAGTTAATACTCTACAAGCCACAGAGCAAAAGAGATTAATAAAGCAAGTGGAACAAGTTGAAGGTGTCTTACTTGCTAAAGGAAAGCATAAAGCTCAAACGAGCTATGCTGTGAAGAAAACACTTAACGAAAAGAAGGAAGCTGAAAACCAGAAAGGTGCTGGTAAAGGGGGGTAAATATCCACCATGTCCACATTGCAAGAAAAATGGACATTCACCAAATTGGTGTTGGTTCAGGCAAGGAGTGCAATGTAGGGCCTGCAAACAATTTGGCCATGTGGAAAAAGTTTGTAAAAACCAAAAGGAAAAGCAGGAATCATAGCAAGCCCAAGTTGCAGATAATCACTAGCATGAAGAACATTTGTTCACAGCTTTGAACCTGCAGGTCTGTAGTAGTGACGAAGTTTGGTTATTGGACAATGGCTGGACCTATCATATGACCTCCAATCCTAACATCTTTGTTGAGTTAAATGATGTATATAGATCAAGAGTTAAAGTAGGGAATGAAGAGTTTGTTGAGGTCAAGGGTGTTGGTGAAATTTATGTGCAAACTTCTACAGGTACCGAGTATATATCTGGTGTTTTATATGTTCCAAACATTGATCAAAATTTGATAAGTGTTGGTCAATTGATTGAGAAAGA